GTTCCTGTTTTATCTGAACATATTGTTGATGCATTTCCCATTGTTTCACAAGCATCCAAATGTCGAACAAGATTATTATCTGTCATCATTTTCTAATAAAAAAAAAAAAATTAAGATAATAATTAGATTTATTAAGATCATTTTTGTTACTAACTCGAACAGCATAAGCAAGAGCAAGTGTTACAGCCAATGGAAGACCTATTTATTTAGAAACAAAAACAAAATTTTTTTCTTTTTTCTTAAGTATAAAAATAAATGAATGTTACCTTCTGGTACTGCAACAACAATGATTGTAGTAGCTTGGATAAGAAATGAAATAAAATAACTAATATCAATTACTGAGGGTTTTTGTTTTTTCATAGCATAAGTTGTAACACAATAATGAGTAATTAAACTAATTAATGTTAAAAAAGCAGCGGACATACCTAATTATTAAAAAAAAAACAATTTCTTTGAATTAAAAAAAAATAATAGTAATAATAATAATGCGTTACCAATATAACCAATATGCAAAGCAAGAGTAGTTAACTTCGAATGAAGAATCGCTAAAAATAAATTATTTTATTTTTCAAATGATTTCATTTTTTGGTTAGTTTTTCTTTTTATACTTACATTTATGTTTAGCGTTATCTGCATCAATATCATCATCTTCTGTATCTTCACTTAATTCAGTTGCAGCATTTCTTGCCTTGTTTTGAGATTTTCTTTCATTAGCGCGAGTAGTTTCATTTATTGTATTATCATTTTTATCTTTGGATGTTTTTAATAATCTTAATTGATCTTTGTGTGAGAATTTTTCAGATATTGCTGGTGTTGGTTGCTTTGTTTCATCTTCAATATGTACACTTTGTTTTGATAAATCAAATGGAGCTTTTGTTGATGTTGTTGCTATGTTAGATTTTCTATCTGTTTCTTTATCTTTTGATTCATTTCTATCTGCTGTTGCACCAAGTAAACTCATTATATTTCTAAACTGAGAATTAAGTCCAACATTAAGAACTACCATTCGACCACTACCTTCCATGACATATGTACCTGATAATAATCTGACATCTTCATCTTCACCTTTTTTTATTAAATCAGTTTCTCCTGAATAAAACAACAAAAACAAAATGTTATTTTCATTTCTCATAATTTTTAGAAGAAAAAACAATATTTTTTTTTAAAAACCTGTCAAAGAAGATTCGTCGATTTTAAGATCACTTGATTGAACTATAATTCCATCAGCTGGTATAAGATCACCTAAAAAAGGATGGTTTCAAAAAACAAAATTTCTCTGAAAAAAATTTTTATTCAAAATTTTACCATATTTAATAAAACAAAGATCACCAACAACAAGTTCTGTAACAGGAATTTGTTGTATAAAATTATTTCGTACAACAGATGTTCGTTGATTTTTGTCAATTTTACTTTGTAAACCACGAAATTGTCGTTCTTTTCTCCAATCATAAAATGCAGTAACAAATACAACGATAAGAACAGCAACAAGAATTGCAACACCTTCAATCCATTCAAGATTTGCTAAAAAAGAGCAGATGCAACAAAAAAAATTAACATACTCTCTCTGTGTAAAACCAATTTATTTAAAAATCAATATCAAGTTTTTTCCTCTTCTTTAAGGTATTATGCTATATTAATTTAAAATATTAAAAATTGTCATAATTAGGATTTTTCTCTTGTCATCAGTTTTGCATACTTTATTGGTTTCTTCTTTTTTATTAAATGTAAACATTTGTTTATATTTAAGTAACATGAGACGGTGTCTATAGATGGTCTAATTTGTCTATCAATGTTCTGGAAAACCTTTTTCTTGAGACAGACTGGTATGAAAATAAGGCATTAAACCCGTATATAGATATGCATAATATCTCATCTTTAATAATAACAAAAGAAATAATGGTACTATTCATTTTGTTATCATGATCAGTCAAAGAATTTAATGAAAGAGATTATATAAATTAGAATAATTCAATCTTTTTGTGTTTTTCTGCATGACAAACGCACAGATATGGGTAAGATAATTCTGAAGCCAGGACAAAGACTTTTTTATTGTAAACGAAACCTTCTATGGTCGTATAAAACTTGTGTTCAATATCATATTATCAAGACACATGTAATTTAAATAGATATGGACAGGATAACCCAGCTCTGGTTCTCTGGGACTGGAATCAAAAATGACTGATCACGCTCATATCTATAAATATGATAATTTCTTCACAGAAAGATCATATTATTACGTACAAATAATTTTCTTTCGATATAATAAGGCAGTGTCTGTTCGATAATTCAAAGGTACATAATTCAAATTTCTGCACAAGGAAAATTTGTCAATTTATTCTGTATTTGTTTCATATGAATATTTAACTCATAAATTGACATGAATAGAACCAATTCTTTTTAATCCGGATAAAAAAGAAGCTTTAGTTCTAGTTTCAAACTTAGCAAAAATTTTGTCAACAGAGCTTACGAGGGAACCTTCTCAAGTGCTAATAAGCTATTTTGCCTAAAATATCGACATTTTACTATGATTTTTCAGCAGCACTATAGTTTTGCAGTAGAATCAAAGTTTCGAATTTTGCTCTGAAACTTTGTCTACCCCGGCACTCCAATGAGACAAGCTTGCCTACTGAGTTGCAGAATTTTTGGACGAATTATTTCCGAGACATGAATTTTCCAAAATATCCATGCCTAACATAATCGTATTGGAAGAGAGCTTGTCCAAAAATTCTAAAACTTTATAAGTAGGTTCGTCTGATTGAAGTTTTGGTGTGGGCAAGGTTTCAGATCAAAATTTGAAACATTAG